TGCACCTAACCTAGGAAATCAAGCAAAAGCATGCATGAGGAAATAAACCTAAGCTAGAAATAGCATAACCAAGTAAAGGCAAGCAAGCATAGCTGGCATAAGCCGTCGTACTCTTACAGCCAACTTCCCACCGCGTTGGACCATGCACTGCACCATAGAGCCCCACATGCGCGCCAACGTCAAGTCCGGCTTCTTCTCGAACAGCAGCTCGTGCGGCGTCTTCCCCGAAGGCAGAGAAGCTCTTTCGAGGCAGTTGCGCACCCAGACAGCCTGTCGCAGAGCAAGGTTCCACCAGTGATGCTTCACGCCCATGTGCAGAAGCATCGTCCACACGGCTTCGACGATCGTGCACATCTCCCGCTCCGCCATGCCGTTCTGCTGCGGAGTGTAGGGGCACATCAGGTTGTGGAGGATGCCTTTGTTATCGACGAGGTCAGTGAAGGCTCAGCCGAGGAACTCCTCTCTGCGGTCAGAACGCAGAATCTTCACCGTTTTCCAAGTGTGCCGCTCCACCACTTCAACCACTTGTCGAAGACGACTAGCACGTTGCTCTTCTTCGCGATCAGCCAAACCCACACATAGCGAGTCTTCCTGTCCTTCAGCAGAAGAAAGTAGAGGCTGCCGTCGCTGCCGGACACTCGAAACGGCCTGCAGAGTATGATGTGTACCACGTCGAGCGCATTCTTGGCGTCCGATCCTTGGTCGGGGAAGGTGTGTCGAGCAAGCTTGCCACCGACGCACGAGGAACACGGCAGGTTGTCTGCGGTCGACTTCTTGATGTCTAGACCGGCGACGACCTGATGCTTTGCCGAGCTCTTGATCGTGTCGACGCGGACATGCGCGAGCCGTGCATGCAACATGTCTGGGGTCAACTTTGTCGCCGCCGCGATCGTCCGCAGAGCCAAAACCCCAATCGAAGTCGTCGTCGACTTCGTCGAGCAGGGTCGTAGGTCGGTGCAGAGAATACTGCCCGAGTAGCGCGCCCGATTAAGTACATCGTCGTCAAAGGACACCAGCAGCATCTCCTCTCCATGGTATTGCAGCTTCACGTCGTTCTCCTAGAGCTCGCCGGCAAGGCGGCTTGCCAACATTGCATGTTGATGGCGTGCCAACGCTGCAGCAAGGCAACTGCACAGCGTTGCACCCGCATGACAGCAGTGCACCTGCTTTGCAGGTGCTCGCATCTGGTTGGCGTGCTGTGCCCCGTCACGTGCACAACGCAGACGCCAAGCCGACCACCTGATCCGCCACGTCGACCTTGTCATACCACCTCCAAGGTTGGCTTTGCCAGAACCACCTGGGCGCCTGTCGCGCACCTCCGCTGAACCCCGTCGCCCAGGTAACTTGGTCGACCAGACAACCACGTCGACCAAGTGCTGCTCCTTGTGCCCATTGACCACCCAGGTCGACGACCACCTTCTGCCGACTCCACGAAGTCGGCCGCTTCCCTAGGTCGGCGTCACCAAGTCAACGCCCTCCCAGGTCGACCTCCCAAGTCGACCTCCCAAAGTCGGCGCCCTCCAAGTCGGCGCCTGCCCAGGTCGACGTCTCCCCTCGTCGACCACCAGGTTGCAGTCAGCCGCCGGCGTCCCAAAGTCGGCGACTTCGCAGTGGCTTCGTGTAGGTCAACCAAACCTGTTGAAAACTTCGCCCAAGACGGCGCCGCCCACTCCTACAAGTTTACTGCACCACCCACAGACCCGACCACGAAGTCGGCTCCACCCAAGCGAGGACGGGGCCAACATACAACTCCCGTTGACACTCCCCTGCCGCGTTCACGCTTGGGCCTCCACCCCACGGCAGCACTACTCGGAGAATAGCTCGTCGGCGTGCACACAACACACAGCACGCCGGTCACCGCACCAGCCGTGCAGAAGGGCACGGCACCTACTGCTGCAGGTCGTCATCACTGTCGTCGACGTTGGCCTGTCGCACTTGCCCGATTGCGACGGAGCATCGGCTCAAGGCCGGAAAGTGCAACGCCTTCAACAGGAAGTCAGTCAGCTGCTCGGTGGTCGTGATGTACTTCAGCACGAACTTTCTGCGATTCACCATGTGTTGCCTCTAGGCATGTCACCGCTCCATGTGCTTGAGGTTGCCCTGCAGCCCCAAGCCTTCTTTGACTGTGATGGTCGTCTTGTTGTCCACCCGAAGGACGGTCGACGTCCCAGCGTCCAGCAACTGGAGATCTGCAAGGAGGAAGCGAATTCGGCGTCCCTCCTTGCCAGCCTCGGTGTCCACCACGTACTCCGACTCAGTCGACAAGAGTGTCGCACACTTGATGCGCTGGCTCGACCAGGAGATGGCAAACCCTCAAAAGAACACGTAACCGACCGTGCTCGCCCGGTTCTGCTTGTCGCCAGCGTTATCGGCGTCCACATAGCCGACCAACTTCAGCGATTCTGGTCCATCGCCGAACTCCAGAGCGGTGTCACGGGTGTCGGCATAGGCGAGGCAGCGGTCGACCTCGCGCTAGTGCTGGTCGCTCCTCACCGTAAGGCCGCTCCCCAGCTTGCTGCAGGCGAAGGCGATGTCCGGCCTCGTCGTCGTCACCGCGAACTGCAGCGAGCCGACCTTCTGCCAGTACTCCTCCTCCTCGTGCTCTGAGCCTTCTCGTTGTCGAACGTGAGCTCGGCGTAGGCGTCGACCGAGACCGGCGTCTTCGGGGTCCGACCGCCCTGCTCCTCGTCGATGAAGCGCCTACGCAGCTTGTTGGCGTAGCCCTGCTGGTGCAGCCACAGCTTCCTCGACAGCCTGTCGCGCACGATCTCCAGCCCAAGGTACTTTACGACCGGCAAGATTTTGCGTAGCTTGAAGGCGGCCTCCAGCAGCTCCTTCAACTCCTTCAGCATCGCGGTGCTGCTGCTGGTGGCAAGCAGGTCGTTGACATAGACCAGCACCCAACAGGCCACACCGTCGTTGCCGATCTTGAAGCAAAGAGCCTCGTCAACCTGGCTCTTCTTCCAGCCAGCGTCCATCAGCACGGCGTTGGGTGCACGGTACCAAAGCAGCGGCGACTGCTTCAGCCCGTACAGGCTCTTCAACAGCTTGCACACTCGGCCGGTCCTGTCGTTGTAATAGTCCAGCCCGTACATGTACAGCACCTGGTCGAGCTTGCTCTGCAGGAAGGCGTTCTTCATGTCGAGCTGCATTAGGTTGAGGTCGAGGACGGCGACGATGCTGAGGAAGATCCTCAGCGTGACGTAGCTGCGTACCGGCGCGTGATACACCTGCGTGAAGCCCTTCACGACTAGCCTCGCCTTCTCGCTCTCGACAGTGTCGTCGATATGGTACTTTGTCATCAGTACCCATTGGTTCTTCATGATGTTCACCCCGAGGGGTGGCTCGACCAGCACCCACGTGCCGTTGGCAATGCGGCTGCAGATCTCTTCTTCCATGGCGGCCTTCACCGCCTTGCCCTTCCAGCTTGCCAACGCCTCCATCACCGTTATCGTCGCGATGTCCCAGCCATGCTCTGGGTCGGCGTGCATGTAGGGTTCAAGCTCAGGCAGCTCGATGTTGGCGTCCATGTTGTCGAGCATCGTGGTGAAGGCGGTTGGCGGCAGGCACACGTGGTAGGTCAGCTGCTCCGGTGGCCTCCGAAGTTCGACCTGAACGCCGTGGCCCAGGCTGGTCGACCTGGACCTCCACCACGTCGCTGTGGGTGGACTCCTCCCCCGTCGACAGCTCCACGTCGCCTCGGTTTCCGAAAATTTTGCCCTACAACCCGCACTGTACAGCCCTCGATAATGCGATTAGGACGCAATGCAGATCGGGCGATCGATCGCCTCAGATCGTCGATCGGGTTGGGTCGGATCGGATTGGGTGGGGTTGCCCCAATGTGAGGCAATTTGTCGATCGCGTCCCGAGCCGCGCGATCAGACGAAGAATTTCGGGGAAGTAAATCAGTATCAGCCACGCGGGTCCTAGGCTATTCACCCGTTTTTTCCGTACAGAGTTGGCGACACCTGGCGAACATTTTGTATCGCGCAATTACAACGTAGCCCTATTTTGGGTTCGCGATTCTGATATCGCGATATCCAATGGTGCTGCGAGTAGTGTAGAATTTCGGCGGAGAGAGTTACCATTTGCAACTGTCGCCAGGCTTCGTGATCTGAGGCAATCTATCGATTGCAATCGACTGCGTCAGATCTGAGCAATCGATCGCAATCGACGCCCGATTGCATGCGATTGCCTCAAAACACCCCTGCGGCTTCTTGGAAATGGTGGATTTCCCCAATCTGAGGCAATCGGACTAAGATCGAGCCGACCTACCGACTCCGAGTTCCCGCTTTCCTTGCTATCATAGCTCCTTCCTTCTGCACCGTTCATAGGTCGTAAATTAGGACGCGGCACCTGTTTTCATTTTGCCAGGTTCGGGGCCTCACATCGATCCTGACACATCGTTTGGCACACCGATGTGCCCACACTGGAAATTTGCAGTGGGGTAGACATATCGAGCTATAGGTGCCAGGATCAAAATTGCAGGATCGGGCAGGCTGAATACACCAACACACTGCAACGCGCAGCCAATCAGGGCAGAGCGTGGTTGGTCGCCCAGCAATTTCATTCGCAACGACTCGAGAATTTTTCGGCCTGCGACCGTGGGCGACGCCGATCGATCGCGGCTGTCACCTGTGGCTCGATGTGCTCTACCGCCAAACCCAAAGCACGATCGATGTGTGCACCACGGCAAATCGAACATGCGAGCTGCAGGTGCCACCAATTTGGGTACCCGTGTACTGTACATTTTCGAATTCATGCGAAAACCGGATACCACGCATTGACGATGTCGCCAATGCACTGTATAAGCGGCACATCGATTCTCTCCTACGATCAATCCTGGCAAAATGAAAACAGGTGCCGCGTCCTTAGCATCGTCAGGTCTTAGCGACGGCACCGTTCGGCGCTCCGTGTGACAGCCGCCGTTCGGCGCTCGCGTGGCAGCCGCAAACCACCCTAATAGTTCGTCGCCGCGTTTCTCGCGGCGCGGCGAGCGAATGGCCCACGACATCAGGAACCTCGCAGTCGCGCCAGCTGCCGCCCTGCTGTTGGTCGCCGCGCATCTCATCAGCACCGCCGCCGCCTTTCGTTTCCAGCCTCCCGAGCCCCTCTCAGGTGTGCGACCGCCTCCGGTGTCACACCGCTCCTTCTCTCTCCGCGCGTCGCATGCGCCGTCTGTGCTCGCCCTCGCCCTTGCGCTCACCTGCCTCGCGCAGGCTCGCATTCCTTCTGCTTATCTGCGGCCCCCCCTGCCCTGCCACTCCTCGTTTCACCCTCCTCCTTTCCCCCGCTCCCCTCTGCTCTCATCCACGATCCCCCCGCCGCCCCACCACATCCCCCCTCGCTGCTCCCCTCCAAGCAGGCGTGGTGCGCATCAACTGCCGCAGCAGCGACCCCGTGATCATCAACGGCCGCCAGTGGCGCGCCGACGCCTTTTACGAATCGGGGCACCCCGTCCGCATCCCCCCCTCCCCTCCCTTCTCCTCCGCTCCCCTCGCCTCGCCCGTTGAAGCCACCCTGCGCGCCTTCCCCGAGGGGAACAGCAACGGCGGGTGCTACACGGTGCCTCTCCCCGCTGACGCGCGCTACCTGGTGCGCGTGGGCGTGGCGTACCGCAACTACGATGGCGCTCGCCGCCCGCCCGCCTTCCACATGGCGGTGAACGGGGTCATTCTGAGGTCGGTGGTGATGGGCGTCACGGAGCAGCAGTTCCCGCTCTCCGCCTTCTACTCCGAGTTCGTCACCTTCGCCCACCACGGCCGCATCGCCGTGTGCTTCCTGCCGCTGCTGGGCGTCGTGGCGGCGCCCCCCCAGGTGAACTCGCTGGAGCTGCTGCCCGCCCACCCCCTGGCGTACGACGGCGCGGTCACGGGGCGGGATGTGGTGGTGGTGCCGCTGCTGCGCCACAATCTGGGCGCTGCCGGCGTGGCGGGGGGCGGCGTAGGGGGAGGGGTCCGTGCGCTGCAGCAGGATAGTGGGAAGGCGAGTGGGGTGGGAAGGGTGAGCGGGGGGAGCACAGTGGGAGGGACCGTGGGGAGGGTGGCAGAATTGGAAGGCGAAGAGGCGGAAGCAGCGGATGAGGGAGGGGTGGAAGGGAGGCGAGGGCAGGTGGGGCGGGCAGGTGAATTGGCAGAGGGGGGGAGGGGGTTGCTGGAGGAGAAGGGGGAGGGGCGCCATGGGGGAATGGTGGAGGTGGGGTGGGCGGAGGAGGACAGAGCATTCAGGGTGTGGGGGCGCGACTTAGCTCCCGCATGGGGCGCCGTGCCTGGTTCCGTGGCTGTGCAGTCAGGTGCTAGTAGTGATGCCAGTGGTGGCGGCAGCAGCAGTGTTGAGGCAAATTCAACCACGGCAGATAATTGGGTTACCGTGGGCATCCGTTCAAAGTGGTCACCACCTCCCGAAGCATTGCTGGTGTTGACGTGGCGCCGGACTTCATTCCATCCGCAGTGTTCCAGTCGGCGTGGGAGGGAGCAGTGGAGGAGGGGCCGGGCGAGGGGGGAGAGCGAGTGAGAAGCGAGGTGGGTGGGGGGGATATGGACAGTGGGGGGGATATGGACGGTGATGAGAATCAGCAGGAGGAGCGGCCGGAGTGGGGGGACAAGAGAAAAGGAGGGCTGCTGTGCTGGGCGAACAGCACCAGAGGTGGCGGCAGCAGCAATGGGGGGTGGGAGACGTGCGTGGGGTCGGTGGGGTTCGCGGTGCGACTGGATCCGGTGAATCTGCTGGACGTGCTCTGCCTGCGCATCTTCTTCGCTGAAATCGACCCCCTCGTTGCTGCTGGCGACCGCCGCTTCGACATCCGGCTGGGCGCCATGAGCGTGCTGGGCGTGGGGGCGAGACAGGGGCAGGGGCAAGGGGAGGGGGGAGACGAGGAGGGACGGGATGAGACAGGGGAAGAGTGGAAGGGGTGGAAGTGGGAGGAGGAGAAAGGTGGAGGGAAGGGGGAGAGGGAGAGGGGAGATGCGAGGGAGGAGGAAGTGGTGGGTGGAGAAGAGAGCGTGAAGGAGGAGGAGGAGAGAGCAGGGAGCGAGGGAGGCAGAGCAGGTAGTGAGGGGGAGACAGCCAGCAGTGCAGGCGCGACGGAAGGGCTCAGAGCGATAAGAGTGGAGGCGGGACGGGAGTCTGAAATGGGGAGTGGAGGCGCGGTGAGATGGCAGGGGCGCGGAGAGAGGTTTCAACGGGTGAGCATTGGCATACGCATGGCGCACGGTGATGGTGATGGTGATGGTGATGGTGATGGTGATGGTGATGGTGATGTGGGGGAGAGTGGCGTGGCGGTGCATGCAGATGGGGTAGATGAGGGCGATGGGGCGGCGGAACGTAAGGGAGGGCACATGATGGACAGTGAGAGGGAGAGAGAGGAGGATGAAGGTAGTGGGAGGAGAAAGCTTCTGCAGCATTGGGAGGGATGGAGGGACAGCAGGGGCCGTACAAGGGCGCACGCGGGGCTTGAGAGTAAGGAGTCAAAGCAGCAGTCGTTGACAGCACGGAGGAGGAAAGGCAAGAGAAGAGAGGAGAGGAAGAGGAGGAGGGTAGGCGTGGAGAGCAGGGTAGGCGTGGAGAGGAGGGTAGGCGTGGAGCACATCGCCCACACGGGGCTGGACGGGCGGCAGCCCGTGGTGCATGGCAACGTGGTGCTGGACGCCCTCAAGAGCATCAGTGAGAGTGGTGAGTTCGACACGGGTGGCGGCGTGGGCACGCCCGTCAACTGGTACCGCAACTTCCTTGACTTCCGCCTCCGTGAGTTCCTCTTCGGCCCGCAGCCCCGCCCCTGGCAGCAGGAGCGCCTGCAGCTACTGCGGTCCAAACAACCACAAATGCTGGGGCGCTGGGAGGGGCAGCATGAGAAGCAGGCGGAGGAGCAGATGGAGGAGGAGGATGTGTTTGATGGGAGCAACCCGCTGTTCGCCCGGGACTGGAGTGCCACAGGGTTTGACATTGTGGTGGCGGCCAACGGGTCGCACAACCGCGCGGTGGTGGTGCAGTTGTGCTTCAACTTCACGCGCTACGCGGAGCAGTATGGCCCCCACCTCGCCCTGCTGCTCTCCCCCATGCGCGGGTCCAAGAGGCCGCCGCTGCTGGCGGGCGTGGAGGTGGTGGAGATTGTGAGAACGCCCCCTGCCGGCCACGTGCCCCGCGGTCAGTGCTGCCTTGCTCTCAGCGCACATGCACATGCACATTCACATTCACATTCACATTCACATTCACATTCACATTCGCATGCATGCTCACATGAACATGGACATGCACATTGCACGTGCACATTCCCATGCACATTCCCATGCACACTCACATGCACACGTGCATGTGTTGTCAGTGTCAGCATCACCATTGCATGGCGCAGTGTGGCGAGTTCCACGGGCGCTTCAAGCCAATGTGATGGCAGGCGGTGAGGTGTGATGGCAGGTGGGGAGGTGTGATGGCAGGCGGGGAGGTGTGATGGCACATAGTGCTGTGAGGAGGACGCCCTCAGGGGGATATGTGCTTCAAGGGGTGTGTGCTTGAAGGGCCATGTGCTTCATGGGGTATGTGATTGAAGGGCCATGTGCTTCATGGGGTATGTGCCGAGAGAGGTCTGAGGCTAAAAGGGTGTGTGGCCAACAAGGCATGTGTGTCAAATGTTTGTGCCAGTTGTGACTCGTTCTCCCCAAGTCTTTCTGGTTTTACCACCCTTGCCTTACTCTGCCTGCTATCATGTTCGGTGCTGCCATGCAACAGTGGAACCGTTGCTGCTCTGGCAGTCTCCACAGTGTCATGCGCGCCACTTCACTCACGCCTGCCACCAACGCCTCTCTTACTCCCAACCGCCCTTCATCACTTCCCTCTACCCTCGCTTTTAGGCGTTGTCACCATCGCCTTCCCTTGTTCATGTCTCACCCCCTTCCACCAGGCTACCTGCCCAACGACATTGTAGCCGTGATCGTGCTCCTCTCCCTTGCCTACATCGCCCTCAAGCTTGCTCCACACTGCCGTGCCTCCGCCTCTCACCTCCCCTTGGCACGCCTCCCCTTCACAAGCCTCCTCTCAGGACAAGCTAAAGGTGCGACTGTGCGCTTGCAATGAGTGTGCATGCATGCTGCCGTGCCATGGGCTGGGATGGGAACAGGCATCAGTCTCGTCCAGCTCTGTAGTTCCGAGAATGGGAATACAAGCCTGGCTAGTCTCTTTCGGTGCATGTTTCTGTCCGAAGCACATTCTTAGCGACGGGTCACAGTATTGAACGACCTCCCACCACTAAATCCGAATGTTCTCATTAATTATTGCTCTCATTGTCCCTCTTCCCGCTGCTGTTGTTACAGACCGGCACAGCCAATGACTGCAAGTCTGCAAGTGTTTTGCAGCAGCAATAACTCTGACTTGTTTCAACACGGGTGTTGAGCCAAGCCTACGGTAGTACCCGGTCCGTAACCTACGATAGACTTTCAAGTAATGGTTCTTGTTTGTTTTGCCTAAGCACGAGTAAGAGCAAAGTCCCCCACCCTCAACCCGTTTTGCTATGGCAAATCAAAATGTCTCTCGCCGCCAGGGCTGACGTTTCAAAAAAACCTACTCTGAGGTCTGGTAGGCTTTTTTTTTTCTCTAGTCTGAAGCACATTTTCTAGAAGTTGGGGAGTCTGATTGGATGCGTAAGACGTTACCGTAAGTCTGAAGGGGTCATTTTCCAAAATCCAAGGTCAGACTAAAATTGAGCTAAGTTAAAACCCGAGTCTAGAATGGCAAGTGTTCAAGTTCAAGAGTCTTGAACATGATTTCGCTATGGAACACGGTAACCCGCTTTCCAGTGATGCTCTCTCGCGACCCACTGAGAATAAATTTGAACCGCTAGAATGTGATTGGCCAAGCGTGTTACGATATGAAGTTTTGATGAGAGAGAAGGCATTCCTGTATGCTGCACAAGCCGACTCTACCGAGTACGAAGTCGAGGAGTCAGAAGAGTCGAAGCGACACAAGCAACCGCATGATCAAGATCGATGCAGGAAGAAATGAAAAGAGCGGGAACAGGTTTGAAACTGATTCCCGCGCCGCACGGTTCGCTGTAATAAGAGAATGTACCCCTTAGAGTACATGGCTAGTCTAGATCGTTTCGCATTCCTTTTGTATTCCCTAAAAAAACCAAATGTATGCATGCTATCATCAATCTCAGTCATTTACATTCACTCTGACCTGAGTTCACTACTTCCGCTGCGACACTACCTGCGATCAACCCTGAGAGATCCTTTCGCTAAGTCCCACTTCAGATTGTAACATGGTATGAGAGTGGCTCAGGGATTCTTCCGACAACACTTCCGTAAAATTCGCCGAACCTAGATCTGGCGAGCGGCACACGCTCCAAGACCAAGATGGCCGGAGGATCCGGAGGCCAAGCGAATCTAACGGCCGAAGGACAAACCAACCCGGCTGCGACAAATGAGGCGACAACCACGATCGGCACTGCCGCCCTCGAGCAGTTATTCGCTCGACTGTCAACTATGGAGAAAGAACTCCAAGATTTGCGCAAAGGCGATGCGGGAACCACTTCCCAACCAGTTCAACCTGGACAACCGGCTGCAAAAAGCCGCGATACCGCAACGCACGGCTTCTCCCTCGACTCAGACAAATCTGCAACAACTGCCCCTCGTCCAAGCGACGAGACAATCAACTCTGCGCAAGCACGCTTTCTCAGCGTTCCAAAGATTAAGACTACCGCCGCATTTGACGGCAAGGATTTCTACACATGGAGTTTTGAGCTGGAGCTCCTCCTACAAACAGCGCAGATCTACCACTACTTCGACGGTTCCTATCCTAAACCGGTGGAAGACACCGAAGACGCCCGGGCTCAATACTACAGTGAGTCACTTATGGCGTATAGCGTCCTGCTGCGCAACATGTCACCAGCAGAACAACTCGGCATCCGCTCCTACAAAGAGAGCGCCGCTCCAGCTATAGAAGCCTGGAAGCACCTCGTGGAGGTATATCAGCCGAAGGATTCCGTCACTGCAAGTCGTCTCCTGCAACAACTCATGGAGACAAAGATGGGGCACGGGGAGAAAGCAAACAGTTACATCAACCGATGTCGGAACATCCGTGATCATATTACAAAGAACGGAAGTTCTATCTCGGAGGAGATCTTCGTCAACATCATCCTCCAAGGCCTTGGGCCTGAGTGGAAGCCCTGCAAGGCGCTACTCCGACAACGAGGAACCCTCTCTGAAGCCGCGCTATGCGCCGCACTGCTGACTGAACAGCAGGACATGGATTCGAGCAGAACAAGCTCCGCGCCGCGCCGAGAGCGCCTCGCCTTCTACACAGACAACCGAGAAGAGCGACGACAACCTAGGCGCCACTATTGCAAAATCTGCAAAATCTTCGGACACTCAACGGATCGATGCAAGTCCCGATCCAATCATCGCGACCCAAATTCCACTCACCATAACAACTGGGTCGGCCGACAAGACGCTCGTCACTCTCAGCCCCAACACCAGAACTCTCGTCCTCCTGCGCAACAACAACCACAACAGCACCAGAACTAAGAAATCCAGAGACGGCACCTACCGCCACCGCAGGTGTGAGAGTACGACGGCTTTGCTGGACTTTACTTGCTCGTTATAGGCACTGAACTAGGTTGAGTGCACCGTATTCTTGGCTTTTCGGTTGCCACCGAATTGCCTTCTACCAAATTCGGGAAGGACCAGTTCAGGACACTTCACGACCCGTGGAACCTTCCAGTAACACTTGGGCCACTGCCTTTATTTCAAGCCTATATATAGCCTCGTGTTGTACCCAGGTAATTGATTCAATAGATTTCTCTTTCTTGAACCAGATCCTCACACTTGGTATTCAGGGCATGTTTACACGAGAAGTCTTCAACCACGAGTAGGTGAAACTAGTCTCGCACATTTTTTCCAAGTCCCCCTCAATCTGGTTTTTGAATTCCCCTCGGGATTATTGGCAAAATTATAGTGAAAGGGAGTGATGTTCGTCGATTTGTAGGTGAACTCGAAATTTACTCTGAAGCCAATTGATACGCGACCCTAACAAAAGACGCAATGCGCATACGGCTCGCAGCAACATAATAAAGACGCCCAGCTCTAGACTGGATTAACAACAAAATTATCATAGGCAAAGTGACGTGGACACAGTTTCGGGCAGAACAGATTGAACAGTTCCACGCGTGGAACAGTAGCTATTACGGGGGACGACGCAACCAGACAAATAGTGGCATGGGGCGATCGGCACCACCCACGACTGCCAACCCGATGGGGAACGACAGGGGCGATGCCAAGCAGCGGCTAGCAGGAAATGAGACGTGCGAATTTTGTGGTGCTACAGGACATCGTATCTTTGCGTGTTGGAAAA